CTACAGCCCCTTGCCCAACCCCCCCCCCAGCTCTCGCAGCCCCTCCAGGCACTGGCAGGCTGCTCTCAGGTCTCCTCAGAGCCTTCTCCTCTCCAGGCAGAACAGCCCCAGCTCTCCCAGCATTTCCTCACAGCAGAGGGGTTCCAGCCCTCGGATCATCGCTGTGGCTCCTCTGGACCAGCATCTGCTCCTTCCCTGCCACGAGGCGTTTGGGACCCTGAGCGTGTGTCGTCTCCCCCCAGCTCCCCTGTCACAGGCTGGAAGTGCCACAAAAAGAGGCTTTTCAGCCCGTTGGAGGGGCAGGATATGCCACAACACAAAAGTCATCCCAGAAAGTGGTTACGGGTCAGACAGAGGGTGTGTGAATGTCCCAGTCATGGCCCCACATGAAAGATTCAAAGCCCAACTCCTCAAATTCTCCTCCTGCGCTTTGCCGCGACTTCCAGAGCATTAAGACAAGCTGCAAACGGCTTTTCGGGCCGAGGCGAGGCGACGACACTTACGGCAGCAGGTTCCCAGGGGCAGACAACGACCGCTCCTCCCTCCTGCTTCCCTCGAACGGGTTCCCGAAGGATCGCTTCCGGATCATCGTTTTAACCAAGATCTGCAAGACCAGATCGGAGTGCATCAGGGACACTTCCCTTTCATTCAAGAGCAACAGGAACATCCAACCCTCATGCCCAAGTAATTAAGAAAACTACTGAAAACAAGACAAAGCTCTTTGAAAAAACCCAAACAAACAGAAGGAAGCATGTTTACAAGTCTCCAGCTGCTTAATATGGGGGCTGTACCCTCGTCTGAAACCCACGGTGCACCAACGGAACACGCAGAGGAGAGCTGCACTAGGTGTGAGAGGATGGAAAGGAGAGCAAAGCCACCTCTGGGAAGATCTTTCTCCCTCCATAAGTAGGTTTTATTGATTACTGCATCCAGTGCCTGCAAATTCCCAGTTCCCTGCGATTACCTGGCAGAAGAATTCATCGGAACGGGAGAGGGGAAGGAAGGAACCGGCACAATTTTTCCTTAATGTTGACCAAAACCAAGCTGAAAAAACTGGCCATTTGTCTAGCTTTGGCTGCAAAACACGAAGGTACCCAGTGTGACCTGCAGTCGGAGACTGCTGGGAACAGAGCAAGTGTCAGGGCTGTTGCCAGGCATCCTCCAACTTATTTTGCTGGTGGGAGCAAAGAACAACGTGAGCAGCATTGGGCCCTGCCTCGGCACGTGCATCCTGCTCTGGGAACCCCTGGCTTCACTTTATATTGCTTCTCATCTCTCTGTGCTGTATTTATCTGCTCACCACAGTGCACTAAGAGCCCTTACACGTCTGAAACATGCAGGCTGGCAGGATTCCACAGGGGAAGGGATTTTATGCCAGAGTGAAGCCACGTGAATCTCGTACTCGAGCGTTAACGCCTGCAGTTGGATGCACAAAGATCAAGCACTGGAGGGTAATTTTGAAGATCAAATGCAAATGGGAAAATACATGCCTGGAGGCCATGCGTTGTTTAAGAGGCAAGAGTCGCAGTAAAAGCTCATTTGCCCTGAGCTGTGCTAAACACACCTGGATTTTCAACGGGGCCGGGAGCACTGAGCCATCCTCCGCTGCATCACAGCGAGTCACCTCCAAACAGGAGAAAGAGGGAAAAGCCCCTCATCGATGGTGATCTCTTTAGAGCAAGATCTGCTTTATCAGCTTCGGCAGTGCGAGGCATATTTGCATATTAACGTATCTGCCGTTGAAGAGACCTCTGCAGGGTACCGAAGCGGGAGAGAGCTCCAGAAATGGAGCCAGATGTGGGCACAGCCACAAGATGGAAAAGGGTCTTCAAAGGGAGACCCGTACATCAAAAAATCCCGGCCTGGGTGTCTACAGGCACATAACGCCGTGCCAGGGAACTGCGAATGTTCTCCTGCTCGCTGTTTCTCCTACCATAAGGGTTAGCAGGCACCCAAAGAAGTCATTAGGTTCAGCACCTAAAAGGATTTAACTTTCCTCACAGGGCAGGGTTACACTGTGGTTACCACCACCACAGCGGGTTGCAGAGAATAAAAATATGAGCTTGAAAAGAGATGAGATGACTTCACCAAGAATAGCTCCAGGCGGGGGCTGGCACACGCTGTGGCCCAGATAAAATCTCCATCCCGGGAAGCTCCCACAGCCCCTGTGGCTGGACGGGCAGAGCAGGGCAGGAGCTCCTCGTGCCAGGCCAGAACACCCACTCCTGGCCATGTGTAGGTCCTGGACCAGATGCTCTTTCACCTTGAGCAAATACAGTGACATTTAGGCAGCCAGCTCAAGCGTGGAGACCAGCAACGTGCTGATGGGTCCCTTTGGGACTGCTCTGAAACATTCCCCCATGCAATGGGGTACAGCCACCTCCAGTGAGATGCTGAGACCCCATCTTGCAGCACTCATTTCCCAGAGAGGGGAGGTCTTTGCTCTAATCCTGCCCAATATTTCTGCTCTTCAGCAGCAACCTCCAGCTGCTCAGGACTGCCCCGGGAGGCAGCGTGGACCCTGGTGTACATCCACAGACCATCACCTCCCTCATACTCACCACGGTGGCCAGGCTGGGAATGTGTTTGACCGAATTCTCCACCTCCTCCTCTGTCACCTCGACGAGGGTGCAGTTCTCATCCTCCGTGGGCAGCAGCTCTGCTCCATTCTTGGTGACCCAAGGGTGCAACTTCAATTAATAACACAGCCTGTCAGGAACGATTTCCTTTTTTTCGTAACTCAAACAACACAAGCCTGGCAAACGCATCTCCTTGCCCAAGCTACGGCCCCTACGTGCTCCTGAAATTCCAGCGAGCAGGGGTGAGACGTGCCGTCTCACCAGCGAGCCACCTCACTCCAGCGCTGCCAGCAACGGCTCAGCCCAGAGCAGAAAATGCCATGGCGCTGGCCTCATCTACGCAACCAAGCAATAACCTTGGTGACATACAGCACTGGGCATCTTGGTGGGTTTCAGGGAAGACCTATTTTCAGTCTCATCTTACGGATGAGACAGCACCAAGAGACAGAAGCGATTTATTCCAGACCGTATGTATGAGCAGTAGTGATGGGGAAACCCACTGAGCCCTAGTCTTGGACCTGAATTAATCCACGACAGAAGGCAGAAACCCCTCCTTCTCCTTGCCCACACACCTGGCGTCTTGAGCGGCTGCAGGAGGAGCACAAAATGGTTCAACAATTCCCCCGCAATCCTTTCCCCCTACCTTCGTCTCCATTTTCTCAGCTTCACGGCCCTTCCAGGCTCCCGCAGGGGCAGAGGACCAGAAATCTCCTGCGAAAGGCTGTTGCACAGTACTTTCCTGGTAGCAGAGGAAATACTGTACTCAGGGGATTTCCTTTTGCCTGTGACTTCTGTAGGCACCAAAGGTCCCAAAACTGAGCAGGTCCCGGAACAGGGGAAGGAGCTGGGACTTACCTGCCCAGGGGCCCTGGGCACAGGGGGAGGACCTAGCCTGGCGCGATCAAACTGACTCCCAAAAAAAGCCGAGCAAGGAGCACCCAACAGAAGTGAAGTCACAGCCAGCACCAGGGGGCTGGGTCAGTACCTTGATTTCTGGGACCGAAATCCTAGATTCGGGATTTTTATCCAACATCCGTGTAATCAAATCCTTCAGGAAGTCTGTAACCTCTGGCCTGGAGAGAGGAGAGGGGAGAGATGAGACGGGGAAGGGGATGGATGCTGCCTCCCTTCCTCACCCCAGTGCCAGCTGCCATGGGCCTTCCTGGGCAGACTGGGGCTGGACCCCCACCCTAGCAGGGCTGCAGCTCCGGCTACTCGTGCACCCAGGTGCCATGCAGCCCTTCCTACCACAAACCCCCCAGGGAAGTCAAATATCCCCTTTTTGGGCCATCCGAAGCATGATCCCACGTGTACGGGGCTGGGAGAGCCCGACACCAACTCCACCAAGGCTAGAACCCAACAGGCAGCAGCTGCAGAGGTTAATTCTTCTCTTCAAACGCCTCTGCAACTTCAATCGCTCCCTCTTCAGCAACTGCAAACCAAGAGATGTTGCCTTCACATTTAACACGAAGGAAGGTTTCCAGGGCCGAGGGCCAACAGAAGGGCTCAGAGCCTGAGTTTTGCAAAACCTCAGTGGAGCAGAGCCAGCCCCACCCAGGAAGCGCCTGAGAAATGACTCAAGTGAGCTTTAAAATAAGAGCTCAGGAGTGGGTTTTTCTGAGTACTTACTGGTCTGGGAACTCCAATGCTTGGGTCTTGATTTTATTGTGTAAACTCAGGATCCTTTCATCCATAAAAGGGCACTGCCAGGAAGAAAAAGAGCAATGAGAAAAGCAACAAACTCTGTTAAGAAGCTGCAGTGGGGCAGCCAGTCAAGCATCGGGATCTCATCGGGTTTGAAGGAGAGCAAGGAGCCAGTTACAGGGAAATACCAGATTTCCTATTATACCAATGTCGTCTTCTAAACACAATGAAAATAACATTTGACTAAAAATTACCAAATTACTACAATGGCTCCTTTCCTAAAATATCTGGCCAGGCACAGAATTTTTTCACTGGGGAAAGAAGAGAAACACGTCTCTTTTGGCTGCACCCATCCCGTGGACAGGCAGAGGTTTCCCATTTCCACCCCCACATCCCTGTCTCCCCTTGGCAATACTCAACCAACAACAGCACTGAAAAATCCATCCCATTACCTGCCCAAACACGAAGCAGTACAGTGTGATCCCCATGGCCCAGACATCCAAAGCCTGCAGAGTGAAGAAAGCATGGTTAGTTTTGCAACAGACAGCGTGTGCAAGGAATATTAAGTAAAAAAACCCTCAAATTGCTCTTAAATACCTTTCCAGAGAAGATTTTCCTGGTTTCCGAGAGCGTCTCCGGGGCCATGAAGGCAGGGGTGCCCACCGTGTTGGTTAAGAGGGCATCAGCTCCCTTGAACTCATTGCTTACCCCGAAGTCAGCAATCTTGACGTGCCCGTCTTCCCCCACGAGGAGGTTGGAAGGTTTAATATCCCGGTGGATTATCTTTTGATAGTGCACTGCAGCCGAAGGAAAACCAAGCGATTCAGCAGCAGCACCGGTCTACAGCAATGGAGCCATGAAGCCCCCGCACGGCTGTAAGCCTTTCTGCTACCTCCACCAACAGCTTCAAAAACCCCTGTGCAGCAGCATGAGCCACCAGGAACGGCACCATACACCAGCAGAAAGCCCAGCCCCAGGTGTTTAGGAAAAAATAAAGATAAGAAATCCCATTGTTTTTGCACAGACACTCACAGTATTCAATACCCTTGATCAGATCCTGGAAGTAGAACCGAGCCTGGTCCTCGCTGAGAGGTTTCAGGGTTGGGATTTCCATCACGGGGCTGCAAAGGCAACAGAGAATGGAGCTCGTTCCCCATCCGGATGCACTGAAATGGATCCCGGAAACTTTGCCGCCGGCTGGGGACAGCACGTGGCCCCAGATGCAAGCATACGTGGGGTGTACACAACTGTAACTGGGTTGGGCAGATGCTGCCCAAACCCACAGGAGACCCACCATGACCATCCCCATCACCTCAGCGTCCCGCGCCTGCCTCGGGTGGCCAAGCTGTGCCACCCACAAACCCGTCTCACCTTCGTGCTTTAGTAGGTTTAAATCTGGAATTCAGTACTCACCCTTGCTTCACCAGTTCGAACACTGAAACACAAAAGAGAAGGTGATTAGGGGTCACTTACAGGTTAGAGCTCCTACGAGCACAGTCTCAACACAATCAATTATTTTAATGACAAAAAATTCAAAAAATAATATGTTTTTTTAGAAATTCTGATGCCATCTTAGGCACGGCACATGGCATATTGGCTCCTTCCATTTTCAGTGAAGGGGATGCTGCCAACTACATTCTCAGCGCTGCAGCTTCAGCATTGTGAAGTGCCCCGCACACGGCACGCTAAGCCCCTCAGTTTGCCTGGAAAACCGAGGCCGAGCCCACGGCTCGAGCCAACCTCTGCGCTTGGCCGTGAAGGCATCGCGTGCTCTGCAGCTGGCACAGGCTGAACATAAATGATGGAAGAGAAATGCCTCCTCCAAATGCGTGTGTATTTGCGGCAAGCAAGCCACTGCAGCCTGCAAGACAGGTTGGGAAGGAGCTCGTTTGTACCGTGGATAATTAAAACGTGCCTTGTTCTCAAAGGCAGAGGAACAAAGGCACTTTCTAGCAGCCCAGCTTCAGAGCTGAGAACAAAAATGCTGGTACCTCTCACGGCAAAGGATGCCCTGATGTCAAATTAAAGCCTGTAAAGTGCTATGAAGCACTCCTGTCTCCTTTCTGAACACAGACTGGCTCCCGTTTGCTCCGACCATTAGAGGGGATTTGCTCCCTGAGCACATCCACGCCATATCCGCTCCGGAGGAGAGACCCAACCCCGCACGCAGCCGCCCCAAAACATGGGGGGAACCCTGTGCCCCCACACACCCCGATCCCCTGCCACCCCCCGAGCACTGCAGGGCGGTCGGCAGTTACCCATGTACAG